GCATTAAGCTTGCTGGCTGTAAAGTGCATGAAAATAAAAAATGCGAATTGTACTGCAAAAACTGTGAAGCTTCAGTTTGTAGCAAATGTGTTGCATTAAACAATCATTCCAATCACAAATTTTATGAAATTTCTGTTATCTGCCAAAACTTGAAATCAAGTCTAAGGAAAGAGAACCAAGTTTACGCGGATTACATTACCCCAGAGTACGACAAGGTCATTTCCGACCTCCAGTCTTTAATAGATATTCAGAAGAAAAGTTACGAGAAGATAAGAGAAGATATTTCAAAACAAGGCCAAAATCTTCATTCAGAAATAAACATTTTAGTACAGAAACTCCTGGAAAATGCAAATCAAATGGAAAAAGAAGATATCCACATCATTTCAAGTTCTCTTTCAGAAATGAAAAAACGACGTTCTGAGATTCAACTGGCAGTTAAAAAAAAATAAGAAACTAGAGAAAGTTAATGATGCTGCAAATTTAATGGCGCATTCGTCCAAGATGGTTGAATTAAGCTTCGTCTTCTCTCCAACAGAATTTTCTACGCCCAAATTTATGCCACAGGAGATAAAAAGTGATGTTTTGGCAAACATGTTCGGAACCTTGAATCCTAGCAGAAGGAAAGATAGGTTGAGCTACTGGATAGCAATTCCAGATTTACTCAAAGAGGAAAAATAAAGTCTATTGTTACATAAAGTTGCTTCATGCGAATACATTCTGTCCGAAAAAAATTCTTTACCATCTTATTAATTCATCCGTCAGATTATTAATCTGTGATGTCGCATATAAGGGACGTAATTATTTTGAGACTACATATAGATATATGTAAGCATGTAGTAGTTAACTATATTTATAATTTAGATATCTGTAGAGCACTTTTATGGATCTATAAGAAGAATAGAAGAATAGAAGAAATGATGGAAAAATGCACGAATGAAACATTTTTGCTGCGACTTTTTTCTACTAGGATGGCTCTTTTTCTCTTTTACTTTTTGGTTCTTGCTTTTAGCTCATGAATATTTTAAACTTCTTGAAAAAATAATGTTAAAACGTTTGCTTACACAAATTGTGTTGGTCTATATTCTTGACAAATTTCAGGCAAAGAAATGCTATTTGTAGGAAAATGATTTTTTTAATTAATACGATCTCAGGGTATTGATAAACTTTTGAAAAAATAAAAAATATTTCTATTGAATGAAACATTTCATTGTCCTGGTATCAAACAGTTTTTGTTAGTATTTTTGTTTGTGTATTTTTGTTTGTGTTTCAATGTATACATCCGATAGGTACATTGTGTACATGTATAGTAATAATGCTTAATGCAGCCGTGTTTCTAATGAATGTCAAATTGTTTCAAGTGACATCTAGGCTGTATTATGTATTTTTTAAGTATCTCCATGTTGTTATTGTGTATAACACGTGTCACTTTATTAAACCATGAGCTTTTACAACCTTTTGTAAAATAAATCCCCCACCTCACACTTTCTTACGTCTTCAACAGAGCTATAACACTCTTTACAAGAAAACTTTGCAAGTTCCCACTGTTTCTCAAAACAAAACTATTTAGACTAACCAGGGATGCTTACGAATTTAAATGCACTTAATGATTACCTTTATGTACTTTTTTACGTAATTAAGGACAGACGAGACGTTCCTAAGTAATAGATATTTTTTCTTAGAGTTTGTCATTGAAGTATTGCTACTTAAACATGTTTACTCACAAAAAAATTGAGGTACCTTAACGGGCATTTCTGCAAGATACCAAGGGTAGTTTTTCTTATTTCATCCTTTGGGGAAGAAAAATAATTTTCCAGTTTCAAATATTGAAGTGTTTGGATTTTTTAAAAATGTTTAGAAACTGGTTTAGAAATCAGAATGTTATTAAAATTTGGAATATTTTTTATACATAACGAATATATACAAAACAGATTTTGAGGAACGTCTCGCCATGACCTTAATTTGAGTCGGTACACAGACATCGTACATTTAAAGGGAAAGATATATGTTGATTATACATGTAACATGTTCGAATTTAAATTTTAAGTTTATTCATTTCAACTATTTATTTTTATATTAGATATATAGTGCACATATTTTTTTTCAAATTTGTTTGGGTTTTTAGTATTTGTTTTGTTGTCTCGATGATATAAATTGTCCACAGTTTTCATTGAATATTAAATTATACTCTTCCATCAAATTTTGTGTGTTTAAGAATCAAATCTTTTATGAATTAATAGTTGCTTTTGAATTATACACAATCAAAAAAACTTAGTTTTAATTTTATAATTTCTTGCAATTGTACCATATATTATTAACGAGGCCCGATCTAGTTGATCTGCGCATACGTTTTAACGCAGCGTCGTCTCAGGCACGTCACAATACCCTTGCCTGCCGTCACAATTGAACATAATAACGTCACAATTAAAATGACGTCAAATTGCGCTAAACTGTTTCGCTGATCTTGCTTACCTGGTTGCTCCATAGACTATGCATTGAAAGCTGGCATTTCCATTATTTTTTTTAAATATTTAAATTAATAAACAACTTTGGAACCTAATTAATTTTGAGGGATCAATTTTTTGGTACAGATTCATTAATTTTATCCTGTTTTATTTCAATTTGTGAGTTTAAAAAAACAAACGCTGCTACTAAAAGTAAACGATTTTAGTCTCTCTCTTTGAACATGTTGAAGTGTTTATACACACTCATTTTATTGCGGACTTGAATATGCATGGTGATTATCTTCAGTTTTTTTTTTTTTTTTAAAAAGTCTATAAATCATTTAAATTGAACCCCCGAAATATTTTCTTTTTCTATATATTACATGACATTAGTACAAATCGTACTTTTGTCGCCTTTACCATGCCCCCTCCCCTCCCTCTACCCCCTTTTTCCAAGTAAAACAACGTTGTGTGTTAAGAGAAAAGCATGACGAGAAAATAATTTCATAATGTAAGAATTATTTATTTTTTAGAAACTAATACAGTATTGTATTCGTTTGTTGGTGTTATGTTAACCTATTGCGACCTATAAAATACGTAGTTGGATAGAATAGATCTAAATTTTGTGTTTTGACATGCCCCCTTTTCACTGCAATAAAGGCTACCGCCAATTTTCTTTTCATTTTTTATAAGAGGAATGAAAATTGCATGATATATGTGAAAAACAAAGAATTTCATCATGAATTTTTTTTTTAATTTGTAAATTTCTTTGTTTATTGAGGAGCTTTAGTATGTAATTGTGTATAAAAACAAGAAAAATGGTCCATATCTTGACAGTGCCCCCATTTCACTACAATAAAGGCAAAGTAACAAAATTTCATTCTAATTTTTCTAAGCATAAAACATACAAGTATATTTCCAAGAATTAAAATTTTTTATCATTCCGTTTTCGTAATTTTCAACTAGATCGGGCCTCGTTAAAACAACTAAATCTGCTAACGAGGAAATTAATCATTTTAAAGCAGTATTACTATACTATTTTTTTAATTGAAAACTTCATAATGCATTGTGCATAAAAAAAATTGATAAAAACAAATAATATTTTATATTCTGTATTCCTTGTACATGTAAAGATATCATTTTTAAACAAAATAAATCATATTCGATGAATTCAGGGTGTTTCATAATATATGTTAAATTTTTAAATCCAGTTATTGTTCTTATCTATCATATGACTATCATATACTATATATCATTTTCAACATCAAATCCTGTATTTTTGTTCAATGTGTGTTCATATCCAGAAAGCCGAAAGACTTTAAGAAGCGGAGATTTAATTGGTGAAGTGGAGACTCTAAGTGTAAAAAAAAAAAACTTCTGAGAAAAATCCCAGATAGATATTTTCAGAAATTTATTCTGGCAATATATTAGCATTTTCAGCATATAATGAACTTTTTAATAATATAATTTGAAGTTATCAGGGTACAAATTTTCAATAATGCAAGGAAAGAGTTTGACCTTTGCATTCAACAATCTCAATTTTTGAACACTTTTCTGTAATGGCTGTTAAGGAACAGCCCTGGTCTACAATCATAGATCACAGATACTGAATGATCTCAAATAGAACATGGACCTTCAAATGAGGGGTGTCTAAGCAAAAATATGTGACAAGGTTTTATACAAATTTCAAGAAGCTAAGCAATTTTCATTTGTCGTTGAATTAATGGAGATCATTTGGAACATGTAATGTGAGCTTTTGACGTTGTAAAGGTTCAACATAGCAAAAATGACGTGACCTGAAAATTCCGCTTATTTTCATTAATGTTTAAGATTTTGTTCAGTGTTTAATATTTTATTTGGTAAATGTACATTACATATGTATAAATCTTATGGATATGTGCATCAATTTGATAAAAGAACTAATCTTTATCTTTTTCTTGTGATTGTCAAACTGAAGATTCAAAATGTAACATATATTAGGAAACACCCTGTATTACTTTAAAACTAATAAGATTTTTTTTAACAACTTTGATGGATATCGTGATTTTCAATGAGGATAAACGAAACATGTGTTAGATAAACGATAAAATTTTTTAAAACTTCTTTAAAATAATTCATTATTTTATATGTTAAAATTTTCGACGGTATGTAAATGTACATGCAGATCTTACAATCATTTTAATCATCTGAGGAGAATAATTGAAAATTGTACATATTATTTATTCCTATCTTTGTCATGCAATTATTTTGTTTAGTACATTGTATGCACAGGTAACACAGATAACATCTAGATGTACTGTATATATAATGCTGTTTAATTTTTTTTTTTTTTAATTGTTCAAATCATCAAATGACATTGATTTCATGAATGTTAAAATCTGTAAACCGTTAATTACTTAATTGCCGTTTTCTGATGATAGCATTCGATTTCTTTAAAGTTTGTTTTTCCCTCTGAGTGTTTAAAAAGATTTGTGTCGTGTCAAGATCGACATCGGTCCCTTGTTGATCAATAAATCGGATTTAAATACATAACGAAGGTGGAATAATAAATACGCGAGAGTGAAATTTACCTTTTATAGCGGTCGAGCAATTTACAGCCCGTAATAGGCACATCAATATTCTTACTTTTAGCAATCTGCATAGTCGTGTTAATTTACGAGGGAAATATACGCTCTCGTTATAACGTGGTCCCGGGGTTAGCATGGAGCGGAAGGGATCGTAGTGTCTTCAGAGGCGTCCTTGGTTACCGTGATACTTACAACGTTATCATTAGTGGTGTTCCGAAAGGACTTCGCGCGATGTGGCAAAATGAAAACCACGATGAATAATTAATATTCAGAGACATCATTAAGTCACCGAGGGACATCGCTCTATAGTATTATATTATATGCATAATTTTCCGTCCAACAGAGAAATTGTGACCTCTTCATTGCTTTATTATATGCTGATGTGAATATCGCATACGGGTGAAATATCATTGACGAAATATTAATATTTAGGGAAAATAAATCAGATAATTTATAATGGCTCCGGATATTCAAGAAAGAGGGAAAAGGAAAAGAGTTTTAATTGGTGCAGAATATACAAGTAAGTATATCATTTGATAATTTTGATTTCTGTTCATATACATTGGCATACTTTTGATATATATTTAAAACTAGATCAAAAGCGATTGAATGTTCTAATCAGGATTCGATTAAACCAAAATGAAATACAGGTTCGTAATTTATGCCAAAAAGAACCAGTGCCAACTGTGTATGTTTAGAAATAACTTTTGTCCACATGAACTTGTTCCATTTAAGTGCTTCAACTTATGATTATTTTTCTTTAATAAGCGTCCTTAACAATTTAGAAAAGTGTAGCATGGTGTCATACCAACTCTTTTGGCAAATTCTTGTAAATCTTAAAAGATCACAAAAATAAACATTTTCAAAAACAATTGCAAAAAGATTTACTTTATATTCAAGAAAATGGAAGTGATATGATGTTGTTGTTGTCTTGGTCTGATAGATGAACAGTTGTTTGTCGTATTTTTTCAATAAAATAAAAGAAACAAAAGTTATTAATGATATTCTGTCAGATCATGAGTTTCGCCTGAGGCGCCTTTCATTTTCATTTAGTTAAAATCCACATTCCTTTTTAGATATACATGTAGCTGTTCATTCCCAACGGCGCATTCGCCGTGTATTAAAGCCAATATGCCATCTTTCAAACATAGAATAAAACTCTATATTTTTCCTTTTGTCTTGCAATGTCAGTTTAAACAAATTGAAATCAAAAGAAAAAAAAAAAGAAAGAGAGCGAAAAACTCTCAATGAAAAATTCCGTTGTATTTTGATTTTTATCATTCAAATTTGAAATGACGTACATTGAAAACAGGGAGAAGTAATTACCAAACCCGTTTTTCAAAAATAAAGAATATGACTATAATGGGATCATTTTTTTTTTCCTTTTATCAGAGGAAAAAATTTAAGCCCCATTTCTATTCGTCGGCCATATTTAAAATGAAAGGAAAATGCAGACATTTTTTTACTGCATAAAAAAGACATTGTTCCTATCTTACGAGGTATTATCTTAAATGGACCAGACTCAAAGTCATTTAAAAGCTTAGGAGATTTTCCTTTTGTTTACTATCATTGTAAGACTTATTTTGAAAATCTAACATCAATTATAATTTGACAAATATCAGACGAATACCTCTAGTCTACACTTGCACCATATCAAGTTTTCTTTTAAGACATTTTCGTTCAATAGACGTTTTTATAAAGGTTTGGAATCTGAACGTAGTTGGGTAGAGCTTTATTTAATGAATCAAGAAGTTTTATTTACGCAAACTTTAAACTGCTCAATGAAAACTTGTACGATTCTATTGCCCATCTCTATTAATACAAATCCACAATTTGTATACCGGGCTAGGATCTACATTTTCAATTCTCCAAGCTTTAATAGACTATTGAACAAATAGATAGTAGGAAGAATTATTATGTTTTATGCGCAGACAACTCAGCTTTTTTAATAAGCGAAAAGAACCTATACAAATAGCAAGAGAATCAAGAGGTGCATACTCTGAATGCAGGTATTACGTTCATACCTTAGTTACGTTTACATAATTAAACAAATCAATTAACATTTTTTACGGGGTGCGGAAATTGGAGTTCGTAAACGCGGAAAGATAAAGATATATCTTTAGATCTTTTTTTAATGGACAATTTTCAGGGGGAAAATGCATCCTGAAAATAGGAATAATTTGAAAATGTTTAAATCAATTATTAAGGAACGAGCAAATATGGATTTCAACGAAGTTAATACATGTAATAGTACATCACCCACACACGAAAATCTCTCTCTCTCTCTCTCTCTCTCTCTCTCTCTCTCTCTCTCTCTCTCTCTCTCTCTGAGGTATTTCATATTTCGTATGATAGTAAAGAAATAAAATTGCCTAACCCTTAACACAGAACATTTTGTGTCAATATAGACCTATAATTAAGCTGTTAACCTCGATTGCTTTATGTCAGCTAAATACCTTTTATGGATTTAAATACTGCATTTTGAATAAACTGTTACAATAATATTGAGTCAATCCTAATATTCTTGTTATAATCTTTAAGTAAAGTGGAATGCATAGATCGGGATTTAAGAGTTTAAGAGCTGACCCACTTTAATATTTTTAAAATACAAAGTCTACTTTGAATTGGCTAACAATACTTTTACGATTTTGAAAGAAGGTGCGATATACTGGTTTTTATTAGATTAAATCTTTATATAAATATAAAAGTTAACAAAAAGTCAGAAAGCACTTTGCTTCTTGACGGCCGTTTATGCTATTGTTACGTTCTATTCACATGATCTTGACTGCTTAAATTGACCAGAAAACGAAAGTGTATATATCTTAAAGGAATATGTATAAAAGAAGTCACCCAGTATCTTAAAAACTATTAGACAGAAGAAACACGAACGCGATAGAAAACATATCAAGTCCTCTCTCTCTCGCAGACGTTGAAGAAAGCTTGTTTAATGTCGATCCAAACTTTTTAAACACAGAATTCGTCAATACCAGATGTAAAAGAGCATGTTTATTACTTCTAAATCAATCGTCTATACATTCCATATCTAGTAATCTAATGACAATTTATTGCCTGTAGTAAAGCATACTCAAAGAACAGAAATATCTATTTTTACATGATTGTATATGTAGGTAAAAAAAACTTTATGATTAGAAATCCATCAGAAAATTACTTTTTCTCGGTCTTCTCTATTACACTGATCTCAATCTTCAACTAGTATATGTGGATAACAAATCTATAATTGCTATTATTAGTTTATCTATAGGCTTATGACTATTAAATCAGTCGAGATCTAATTTAACTTCCACTTCAATAGGTATGGAGCATAACCAAAAAAACTTTTGATGCATTTTCTATAGAATGTGTTTTCTTCTAATTTTCTCTTGAACCCTGTTTAGTGGGAAAGATTTAACATATTCTTTTTTTTCAAGGCACCAATCCAAGACACTATAGACTAAGTTCAAATAAAAGTATTTTAATACTCGGATACAGTTAAGAATAATATAAATATTACTTTAAGAAATAAGATAGTCCAAGTTTTGTTGAGAAAATATGGTAATTCATGGGTTCTTTGCAACTTAAGGCTTAGGAGACCGGCCCGAAATAGTGTGTCTTAGGCCAGCGTCATCCATTTTAGTACAAAACATGAATATATTAAGAATAACAATTGCATTTCTGACACATACATGTATATCCACAGTTGTAGGTACTATCTAACATGCACTTTAGGGATGTTTCACCTTCAGTTAAAATTCATGAGGGGTTTATGTACATGTATAACAATAAACACTTTATCTTTCTTTCTATACATGTGAAAATCAAGGATACTAAATGTATAGTATAGCCACATGAGGTGCAGAAGACACAGCATGCTATCTTAAGTTTTATATTTCTATAGACAATGTATCCAATGAGCTTTTAAATACCGTCTTCATTCAAGAGTCATATCGCCATGTTTATCATCACATCATTGACCAATCATCTCACACAATGCCAAGTCTCGCGTTATCTTGCTGATTATCGCAAACACGTCAGAAGTCAAATTTACACCTTAAAGAATTTTCGACGCTTTTTCAAGTCGTGTAATGGGTTCGTTGATTTGTAATCAAGTGTGTATCAATTTAGTTAAATAGAGTTATGGAAGTTTACCAAAATACAACGGCTGTTTCCAGCCATTGCTATCGCAGTAGGGTCTCCCCTTGTAATGTTAGCCTCGTTTCAATAAGTATTCTTCAACAATTAAGGTCTTGGTGCAATCGAATTTTTGGTCAACTCGTATTGACGAAACGTATTGTTTAATCATAAGTATGTTTACGTAGTGTAGACTTTCTTTTTAGGACAAAAGTATGTCGGTTGCTACGTATTTCAGCATGATGATCTAGATGTGCTGAGAATGTTGTGGAAAAAATATTAACTTTCAAGGGAGTTATAATTGCCATTTTGTTTAAGTTTTTTTTTTCCATCGTCCTCTGGATTTTGAAGCTACAGTGAAGTAGGTTACAATGACTTACATTCTTCGAACATAGAGTATTTCAAGAAAAAGTAGTGAACTTTGATAGTGCAAAATGCCGAGATACTTTAAAATGGAGCCCCTTGTGGCCAAACCTCTAAAAGGTAAAGTATCTGTAGTAATACATTTGTGTATTAATTTGTAAATATTGATCAACTCCTTTGACGTCAAATTTATAAAAGTCAGAAAAAAGAAAATCTCGGGCCTTATTCTCTACCTGGTGCATTGAACATGCATGGGGAAATGATACTCCGAATCTTTATCACTTGGGCATCATTTCTGACCAATTCTACATGAAAAGGAAATTGAGCTTTTATCTCGAACAGTTGTTTCAAGATATGAGCAAAGTTTTTAAAGTCCCTGGCGCATTTATCACAAATAAAATGCTAATGAACAGACGAATGTTTTACTTCATACATACCATTACACGGATGGAGAAAATGGGCATGTGGACATTTAAACCTTTTTAGTTACTTTTGATATATCATCAAATGAAAAACAAAAGAGCAGATATTTACTTGTCTGTAGGAATAAGATTAGATGGAAAGGTGTTCCAGCAGATGTACATGTCCCATGCAAAGGTGTGACCATGACAAATTTTTTTATCCTTAAATTAAATAATAAGTAGGAGGGGTCAAATGTGCGCATTTTCATCCCCAAAAGCCACGTGCATGTATAAAGACTATGCTTAAGGGGGCTGGCGTGTCAACAAATTAACCATCAGATATAACTTCACTTTTCATAGATGGTTTCTTATGCTGTCAATTATCAAAAATTTCATAGATTTTTAATTTTAAAATTTGATAGTTTTTGTAAATCTCCACATGGAGGTCTTTTTCTAAAGAAGATCAATATAGTCGAAAAATGGCCACAACCCCAATTCCTCTTTTAAATTTTTACTGTAAGAGGCACATGTTGTATACCTTGATGTGGTTGCTATTTTTATGTCACCTGAGTAACTCAGGTGACCTATTGCTATCCGTTTTCGTCCGTCGTCGTGTGTTGTGTCGTGCGTCGTGTGTTAACATTTGAACATTTTCAGCTTCTTCTCTGAAACCACTGAACCAATTTCAACCAAATTTGGTATACAGCATCTATGGGTGAAGGGGAACAAAAATTGTGAATTTCATGGTCCCTGCCCCCCTGGGGCCTGAGGGGTGGGGCCAAAACCACTAAAATTATTGCGATTTTTAAAAATCTTCTTCTTTACTCCTGGACATCAAGCAGGCAAACTGCTGACATGAATGTAATGAGCATTGAGTCCTCTACCAAAATTATAAAATTCGTGGCCCCAGGGTCAGGGGTTCTAGTGCTATGGCGGGGATATATAGATTATATGGTGAAAATGCATTATTTCTTTGAAAATCTTCTTCTCTGCTCCTGGGTATTAAATAAACTAAGTAAGTACATAATTATGATGAACAGGAGTGCCTCTTTCAGATTTGTGAATTTTATGGCCCCAGGGTCAGGGGTTCTGGTGTTAGGGCGGGGCTCTATTGATTATGTAGTGAAAATGCATTTATTCTTTGAAAATCTTCTTCTCTGCTTCTGAGAATTAAATAAACTAACTAGGCACATAGTTATGATGAACAATAGCGCCTTTTTCAAAATTGTGAATTTTATGGCCCCAGTGTCAGGGGTTCTGGTGTTAGGGCGGGGCTCTATTGATTATAAAGTGAAAATGCATTAATTCTTTGAAAATCTTCTTCTCTGCTTCTGGGTATTAAATAAACTAACTAAGCACATAGTTATGATGAGCAAGAGTGCCTTTTCCAAAATTGTAAATTTTATGGCCCCAGGGTCAGGGGTTGTGGTGTTAGGGCAGGGCTCTATTAATTATACAGTGAAAATGCATTTATTCTTTGAAAATCTTCTTCTCTGCTTCTGAGTATTAGTTAAACTAACTAAGCACATTGTTATGATGAACAAGAGTGCCTCTTCCAAAATTGTGAATTTTATGGCCCCAGGGTCAGGGGTTCTGGTGTTAGGGCGGGGCTCTATTGATTAAATAGTGAAAATACTTGGAATTCTTTGAAAACCTTCTTCTCTGCTGCTGGGAATTAAATAAACTAACTAAGTGCATGGATATAATGAGCAAGAATGCCTCTACCAAAATTGTGAATTTTATGGCCCCAGGGTCAGGGGTTCTGGTGTTAGGGCGGGGCTCTATTAATTATATAGTGAAAATTCATGAATTCTTTGACATTTTATTCTCTGCTCCTAGGAATTAAATAAATGAGCTAAGTAATAGTTATGATGAGCAAGAATGCCTCTTCCAGAATTGTGAATTTTATAGCCCTAAGGACAGGGGTTCTGGTGTTAGGGTGAGCTCTATTGATCATATAGTGAAAATACATTAAATCTTTGAAAAATTTCTTCTCTGCACCTGGGTATTAGGCAGATGAACTACTTATTTTGTTTTGATGAGCAAGGGCCCTAATCTTGCAGAATTGTGAATTTCAAGGCCCCAGGGTCAGGGGTACCATAGAGGGGGGGGGGTGTACTTATATACTGAAAATGAATGAATTGTTTGAAATCTGCTCCTTGGTATTAATCAAATATTTTTGAAAAGCAAGGGCGCCTTTACAAAATTTGTGCAATGTGTGGATCTAGGCCTAAGGGTCAGGGGTTCATGTGTTGTAATCTACTGATTATTCCTGAATATTACTGATTAGTTGAAATGCGTTTTTTGTTCCCCACCCTACCTATGGGTATTGAGTAAACAATCTAAGCAACTGCTAAGTGTATTGTTATGATGATCAATGGTGCCTCTTTCAAAATTGTGAATGCCATAGCATCTGGCTTAAAACATGAATCAAATTCAATCACTGGAAAGTTGTTGCATAATGCTCAGGTGACCAATAAGGCCCATGGGCCTCTTGTTCTTTATCTCCGTCCTTCCTCAAAATACATGTATAGCACTAACAATCGTCTACAAGAGGTAATAGTGCGTTCTAAATCATAGAATGTGTTTGCCCAACAGCCTTTCAAACTGCCAAAAAGCCTTTCAAACTTTTTTTGTATTCTCCCTGAGCCTTCAATTGCCGACATTGCACGTTCAATAAACTTTTAATGTTTGTCAAAAAGATTATTGTTATAAATAAGACTTTTTCCTCAAAGACCTTTTTGCTGAAATCATGTTCCTGATAAATCTGAATTTTTATTATTCTTGGTAAATATCTAAATCTTAAAGCGTATATATTTTTAAGAACAAATCTCATATCTCAGGATAAATTGCCGTGTAAAGCGTTAAAAGTTGCATTCTACATAAAATCTGACGGCAGTGTCATACAAAACTCTCTCAACAGTTAAGATCATAGTACTTTCGTTTAAGAACAATCGGATATTTGTTTGAGTAAGTGCTCTTCATACATATCGTAAAACGTATTACAATATACTTCTCGTTCTTCGTTTACAGAACATTAATCAAAGATAAACTTTAAATTCAGGGGTTAAATAGATCCAATCGAAAATCTCCAGACTGTTTGATAGTGAAAGTAAATATCGAATAATTACAGGGGGCCTTTACCTGTTACATAATACTCCGTGTTGGGAGGCTTACTTGGTCGTAACATTCAGATTAAAAAGACCTTTATATGATTAAAAGCCTGACTTCGTTCAAGGCCAATAAAAATTGATTTGGTTTATGTCCTTGGTTCGTAATTGATATCAATTATTAAACCATAGTGATGATCAATATGAAGTAAAGTTTTGGTGAAGTAGGGATATCATTGCCGCATTTATTTTATGTTTTTATTCCCTATATATACTTTATAACGCTACGATAGCAATACAATGTATGCACAGCGTTAATTTTTAAACGTTTTTAATATCAAGTGGGCACTGAAATATTGAAAGGTCCAGAACAATTTAATTAAAGACAAGGTAATGTTTTTTTTAAATATTGAAAATAATTTTTTAATCAGAAAGAAATCAATTTACAGTTATGTATTCACCCTAAAATATAGTCAAAAAGAAAGTACAAAACGTAATTTTACGTCTGAAGTACAATAAATCTACAAAAAGGTGAAATTGAGATGCGATTCACAATATCGGCATACAGCACAAGACGTCGAAATCTTTCTTAGAGTTTTGGTCTTTCATGCTTTAAATCTTTCAAAAAGAACTTCAAGGCTTTAATTGACGATTTTTAATGGTAAATATATACATATAGTTAAACTGGGTGTAAGAAGGCGACTTCTTTCATACACATCTTTTTTTTTTTCAAAAATTCGGATCAATATTGACTGAAATGATCAAGGTTATTTTTTCCCTATGAATACAGTACTTAGGTTTGGTTTGGAGGTGTTGTTTTACAATTAGCATTCATCTGTACTTTTCTTAAACTTACTATCGTAGCCTTATATATATCACCAAGAAAAAAGTTTAGGTTTGGAATCTTTTCGGTCGCTTTAGAAATTTTAAACTATGAACATTGAATTTCACTTTCAAAATTATGCAGTTTTGTAATTAAAAGTATCTCTGTAATATGTGTAGAAGTACTAGCAATTGATAACTGTTTAAAGATAATATAAAAGTTCATGCAGTTTTTATTTATAATTGCTTCAATAGCGATAGGACACATTTGCACTTTTCGCGATTGCACTTGTTAATTAATTTCCTAATTAAGTTCTGCACATCTATTTGAACAGGTAGCATGGGTCTCCTCGATGCATGGGTGCATGTACCCCCTCCTCTCTCTCTCTCTCTTTCTCGTTCGTGCGAATATTATCATAAGTATGTCATGTTCTAAAAGTTAACTTCTTTCATCAAGACTTAAAACATTGTAAAAACTAAATGAAGCTCAGTCGGGGAGTCTTTAGCCATGGAAGAATAATGATTTTTTTAATCAGTTAATATTTTCAAAATTTAATCAAATACATTGAAGGAATGATACTGGAATTTTTAAATATCAAACTTCCTACAGTAACGTTTCGCATATATACAATGCCTTCCATAGTAGTTGAGATTTATGTGTTTGAAGAATCGACACATCTCTTGGCTACAACTTTATGAAGTTAAAAAAAATCAATGAAATATACCGGCGGTATTTCTTTTTACATATGTTTAAAGTATTTTACCAATATTTGCTGAATAACTGTGATACACTTCGAATTTTTTTTTATCAATAATCTTGAATTCTTTTTTAATTTGTAAGGTGCCGTGTCCGATCAATGGTCGTCCCATTTGACAACAAAGGGTTTTGATATCAAGGATATATTGATTAATCTGAGTATTAATTGCCCTTGTTAACAAGTACACCTGACCTCTCTTTAATGATCACATTGTTAATTTTTTAAAGGTACATTCTTAATTTTAAGTATTCTTCGCTTATATTAATATTAAGTGACTTTGAGTATGAATGAATCTAAAATCTGAACCATTATGATGTCAAAGGAGCCTCAAATAATTTTGTTACGAACTTTTTTGCATTTACCATAGAGGTATTAGAAAAGGTTACACGAAAAAAAACAACGAATTAAAACTCATTCATATTCATTTATATTTAGTAATCTAATTTTGAGTTTTGAAAACAGAACGTGCACGTAATGGGATACGATTTGTTACAAGAATTATATTATTAAAGTGTTCTAATGAATTTATTGATATATTTTTTGATTGACAGGTCCTGGCCCCGCCCAGTACCAGCTTCCGACAACAGTAGGGCAAAATTCAAATGACAAAACAAAAAGGTCCACGCCCTCTTTCTCATTTGGGTCAAGACACTGGGGTAAGCTGAAAATTTAGTCAACATTCCCATTTTTTTTAAAAAATCATGAGTTTTGAAATTAGAAATACATATAGATATATATTTTATTTACACAAATGCATGAAATTTATACTTACACTCAATCATCCTTAAACAATCAATTGCATGTTAGAGTAAAAGAAATCAACAGATAATGGCTTTATTGCATGTTGATGAATTATTACTATTTGCATGCTTATCGTATATTGCTTTCAATTTCATTTGAACAATAAGAATTTTTTTTAAAGTTTACCATACAATTAAACTTTTTAAGCGTTAAATCCACCCATAATCTATATATTTATGCATTCTCAAGCATAGTGCATTTAGAACTAGCTTTATGCTTGCAGAAAGAGAGGCAATCATTTGTTAATTTTAAATACCAATATCAGTGTTTTTATTTGCAAGATGTCAATTTGAATTTTGAAAGAAATAATAACCTTTTGGATATATGTTTTATGCTTTTAATCAAATTTGTTTAAATTTACCGCGCATATAGCCAAGAAAGGTATGACGTAGTCAGCTAGATGACGTGGTGATGGTGTTCGATTTGTATTTTCTAGTATATTAGATCTTTGATTTATATGTTGTATATACAATTGTATATTCTCTGAATTATAAAATACGTATCTTTATACATGGGTTTCATTTGCTGTTTACCACTGTTATAAATACATGTATGAATGTTTCCATTGTTTCTCTTCTTTTTCTGAAAATAAACACACATTTCTTTACATAAAGGTATATTATACTTACAATTATGTCTTCTTCTTTGATAAAAAGACAAAGCACAATGCAATATCCCCATATGATAATTTTTTCAAATGCATTCTTTTTTAACACATGCCAACTAAAGTATTGTTAAAAATACTTTCTACATAATACATGTAGTACGTTTTATGTAATATTTATCTTGTAATATCATACAAGTTGTTTTCATTACAATAAAAGTTGTAACGAATTCTAAACTATTTTCAAAAATGTACGTTGTATTCTTTGAATTAAAAAATTTCAATTTGCAACATAATCCACGAATTCTTGGTTTTGTTCCTATTGATTTTTCTTAATAAAACAGAAAAAAGATTGTATAAACGTTTCTGTTTTTACTTGTAAATGGGTTAGCACGGAATTTGGTTACAATTTTAAGATTACATATCAACATTTTTCTGGTCTCAGTTCAAAATTTATCTTTCAATTATTGGTACAAATCTTTGCACTGCCAAGGATGCCTCAAGTGCATTGTTAAATTAAACTAAATAATTCATCCTTAAATTAAAGCATGCAGTATTACCTGGTGTGCAAATAAACCTTCTTTCTTTTTAATAAGATACTTAAATGGTATTATTTGATAAATGCATTTGTCATTGAATAAATTTGCAGACAAGAGGATTGCATTAAAATTGGTAGACGGTTTAGAAAACTGTGTGTCAGTTGGTTGCTAGAATTTGTTTTTCTTTGTTAATTTAAGTGTTCTATTTTGTTTACCGTTAGCAAATATAGATTTTCTGCTAGACCTTCCAAACAAATTGAATGAGCATTCCAAAAAAAGAATGAAAGTAATGCGTGACAAAAGATTTTTTTCTGTAGGAAATATGAATTACTTAATACATGCACTTCTTAAACTTCCTTTGTAAGAGCTCTCTCTCTCTCTCTCTCTCTCTCTCTCTCTCTCTCTCTCTCTCATGTTTTTCAACTTTTACATGCATATTCATGCATATTGAAGACCAAATTGAGTTATCTTCTTTGTCATATACGAGTAGATAATGCTTGTTCACATTGTCCCTGAGAAAAATATGTTACAGTAAATTATTTCTATCGAAGAAAAAATAAATTTATGATTGATGTTATTGACACTGCATAATTGTATTTTATCAACATGTGTTTTTTTTTTCAATATTAATTTTGTTTGCATGAAATAATTTGTTTACTTTTATTTTAGAATTCAAAAAAGAGGGTCCTGGACCTGCATATAACATTGACAGTTCGTTGACGTCTAAAGGGAGGGACATGAGACCCTCCTTTTCAATGCTGGGACGTGCAAAAACACCAAGTAATTCTATCATTTTTTTGATTATGAAGACATTATATTTTCTTAAAATTAAGTTGTTTTTTTTTTTTTATATTTTTTTATTTTTTATTTTATCATAATTTCCTTTGAAAAACCAGACATATATTTTTTTTTATTCAAACCAAGTCGAAGGTAAAAACTATTTACTAGTACCTTTTTTCCAGAAAGAGACATCAGTCCGGGGCCTGGCATCTTCGCTAGCCAAGGGTTTCTGATACGCTACTCTCCTCACAAACCCTTGGCCTACGGTGTTCATAGAAATCAGGATTTTTTTCCAGTGTTCTGATTGGATTTCAGTACACCCAGTTCGACCAATCAGCAATTGTTTTTTGTAAATGACGATATTTGCGTTCGGGATACATTTCATTCTTTAATCTCGGAAATGAAAAACGCAAGTAAACAACGATCCGTAAGATAACATTCAATTCTATGAATAGCCATGGTGTCATCCAACATCTTCTAAATATGTGATTAAGAATCTATATTGAAGCTTCAGATTTGTTCTATAAATAATGAATAAACATAACTCAATTATTGCTTCTTAATTATTCTTGAAAAAACTTTGATTTAATTTTTTTTAACACAAGTCTTTATTTCTGGCGATGACGCAATCTGTGCGTACCTGATAGATTCAAGATCACGTGATGGAAAACAATCCCATCTTTTGACTTCACCGTATGCCAAGGGTTTACGAGGAGAGTAGCGTATCAGAAACCCTTGGCTAGCGAAGATGGGGGCCTGGCGCATACAACACAGACAGAGCACCCCTGAAGGAGAAAAACGCCCCTCAGTACTCCATGAGCCCACGAACATCCCCCCGCCGTGTCGACGTCACCCCATCCCCAAACATGTACGCCCTACCCTCAACGATAGGCCCCAGGGTCCCGGACAGAAAAGGGGGAACACAAGCTGCCCTCCTAGGAAGGACGAACTACTTGGATTTTTCAGCTGATCTCGCGAAAACACCCGGACCCGCCAAATATGGTGCCCTTCCCCCGTCGCAGACAAAACGAAGAGCGCCTTCGTATAGCCTGGGTGCGAGGGCTAAAACACCAAGGGACATAAACAACGTTCCAGGGCCCGGAAAATATAGCCCAGAACACGTGACAGCTCATTTAGACGCCAGTCCTAGATATCATATAGGTGTTCGCCATTCTCAATACATAATGCCTGCTGTTCCGTTAGCAAATGTTGATTGATGATAGCGAATTTAGCACACAATATTGACTATATTACACTGAAAATTGAAACATTTATTTAATTTGCAAATCATTAAGCATTATTTAAACAAGCCTTGTTGCAAGAACTATTGAAATTCATTCTCAAGCACTATTGAAGTGCATTTATTTCAATAGCTGGCGTAATTTCAATAGGTTGCAACACATTATACATGTACATGTACCAACTTCACTTTATTTATGTTTGTGCTTTTCAAACTGAAACACTTTGTATGCTTCAATCATATATGTTTTTTTTAAATCAAAATTTACCAATTTCAATTGGCCTTTCAGTTTACATGCGGACAGTTGGTACGAGTACATTTTAATATTGTTTAGAGGAGTAAAGGAAATTCTTCTCTTTTCAACAAATGTGCAAGACAATACTTATGGACAGTTGCTTCATATCAAACCACCCACAAATTCCAATCATATACAAGGGAATTGGGTTACTTTTATGAATAGTTAATACATGTAGGTGATGCTCAGCTTCAGAAACAATGCAACTCATTTTTTTTAGGAATATGAATATTGTTAGATTAATTTATTATAAATGTCAAAGTAATATGCCAACAAAATTTAACTATTTCTCGTAAACTATAAATCATTAAAAGAAACTGTAATTTCATGTAATAATAAATTCCACTGAATTTGCATTTCTATGAAAATTTCAGGATTTTAAGTATAATTTGATAGTTTTGAACTAATTCTAAGAAAAACAGTTTCTGAAATGCCATGCTTTACCTTTCAAATATTCGAAAATGTGAACTCTCTCTCTCTCTCTCTCTCTCTCTCTCTCTCTCTGATCTTACTGTTATAAATTCTAGCTGATTCTGTGATATTGTTCAATCGGAGAGTTGTTAAGACGTTAACAGGAGAACATGTTATTATACATATATGTGGTATCAAAAATGTAATAAAATGTTTCCTGTCGTTTTAAGGTTTTTGTTCTGAGGCATGATGATAATATTTACTTTTAAAAAGTGTCTCTATGGTAAATATTGTTAACTTGAGCAACATTTCACTTTGATGGAAGAGTCGCTTTCAAAACTATTTTAAGTCGCTTATAATAGCAACATGGTTTATTTGATATTTAAAAGAAAGCAGATAAATCACTTCATTGACAATCACATATGCATGGTTTTAAAGTGTAACATTTTTTATTTTAAAAATATGTAGGCATTCATGAGTATACGATTATTATGAAAACTGAGTAAAAAAAGATACCTGATTTTTTTTTTTTTAAACATCATAAAATTTTCATATATAGAGTTTGGTAATGAAAAGACAATTCTTTTTATAATGTGACCTCGCTTTAATTTAAACGTACAAACACTTTGCAAGGTATAGGTGGTTGAATATTTTATATGATTTCACAACAAAACATACGTACGTCATTAGACTATCAAAATGAAAAAAATGTAAATGATAATATTAACATTATATTCAAACTTTTGCAGTAAAAATAGATTGGCAGGTGGTAAACTTAAAAGACTACCTCAGAATTTATGAAACGCGTAAAAAGGGAAATAACTCTCACAAAATACAGAATGATCCAATTCGTGAATAAGACAGACAGAAAGATGAGCTCAAAGTCAAAACCTTTATCATCTTTCATTAAGTCATTGGTCATGATTTAAACATTCTACTGATAGTGTTTCCTATTCTCATCACTATGAACATTTTCAAAACTTTACAGGTATTTTCTATTAATGTGTCTATAACAAAAAAGGTTGTTTCCTTTGCCTTTTAAATTTGAACCAACCCAAACCAAATGATTTTCATGGTCATAGCATATGCTTCGTGGCTCCATTATGTTGTGTTTCTTGGTCAACAGATAACGCAGAAAACGTCCGTCTATATCAATCATGTGCACGCTATTGGTATTGTAATCACAAACAAGAATATTCATTAAAGCGTCCGTACAAATACCATTTGGTGATAACTTTCGTACCGATGGGTGACCTCTGTACGAAAAACGATGTGCTCCCTCTCGATTCACCACCACTACACCGTACCAAACATCGGATACAATGACGTCACCGTTCTGATTTTCTGTTATGTACAATGCCTTTTTATAAAGCGACTCACCATTTTCGTGGTACTGGAAACTCTGAATATGGTTTCCTGATTTGTCAAACCGGGAAACTATTGAAGTATCTGTATCTTTTCTCCACATTCCTATCAATAAATTTCCATTTAACAAGGAGGAAAAGACACAACAAGGTTTCCAAGGCTTTGATTTCTTTATCAACACATTTGGTATCGTTTGCTCTTTTTCCATTTCGCAGATATTATGTTTTAGGTCTATGAAAATCAGATCCCCTGTGGTGGTTACCGAATGGACACACGGAAACGCAGCGTTAGTCAAAACTCTTTTCTGTCGAAATAACGATTCTCCGTTTTTGTGAATATGCAGAAGTTTTTTGTGATTATTGATCCAGAAACTGTCTGAAGAGGCATAGGAAATATGTGAACTTTTTCGTATTTCACCCACTTCTACAGATTGTTTCAATGTCACATCAGGCAACGCTTCGAAAAGAAACTCCACTTCAATTTCTGGTTTTCCACTTTCCATATTTTCTACTTCTCCAAACATGTTGATAACATTTTGCCTGTTTAAAGCATACAGAGAAAAACTAGAAAAAGAATAATGAAAAAGTGGAGATGTTTTCAAAAACGACAGACATTGAACAGGCTTATTAGCATATATATCAAACTTATAAATTGACTTTTCCAAGACAATAACTTGTTTCCTCAACTTAATTAGCCTTTTTACAATATAATTCCTTATTCCAAATATCAAACTCTGTTCATGTACAAACTCCAGGGCAGTTTGTAGAGACTTGGCTCTTTCCATCATCTTCAGATCAGTTTTCAGCTGATGTTTTGCTACATGTATGCCTGGGTGTAGTACAATGTTCTTTATTTGTGCTAGCAAAGCTATATTAAGATGTAGAACTTCACTTCGAACTTTGGAAATTTTTTCTCGGTTCAGGATAATATGTCGTTCATATGCTCTATTAAGTGGGTTCGTTCCATGCCCTCTATGCCCAATGCATTGTTTACACAAAGGACATTTACATGTCCGACACCAGTATTCATAAACATTTCTTGGATGTATTTCACAGGTTTCCTCACAAGTTGTATTTCCATATTTCACTTCTATAGTAACTACATTATGAAGGTAAGAGTCAAGATCTATCAAATGTTTTTCTTTACAGAGCAAACAGAAGTTCTTTCTACAATCTTTGCAGTAGTATTCTGCATCCTTTTTGCACAGAAAACAGCGCCTGGTTTGATGGGAAAATAGTCCTTCCATGATAATTCTGTTAAAGGCATTACCTTTTGACGTATATCATGATGTCAGTTTGTTGTATATTTGTCATTTTCTGTAAGATTTTAAAATAGATAATATTTAATCTAATTGATTCAAAAATCATATTCGTATGTCTGCATCAGAGTGAAGTAAAAAGATATGGGAAAAGTTCGAAATGTAGGTTATGCTTTCAAGTGCTTAGTATGCAAAAATTTTTATTTTTATTGCAATTGAGAATTAAGATTGTCAATGGTTTCACGATATGTTAATTTCATATACAGGTAATGAATCCACACATGAAATTAGGCCCTTTCCCTCCCATCCCCGTTTCACAAAATGAATCTTGAAGACGAATTGGTCCCAAGTAGCTATTGCTATTTGAAAATGCATTGAAAATGTTAAAATTTAAGAAAAACGTTATATCTGAAATTTTCCTCGAAATTTCAGGATTTGAAAGCAATTATCAATTTCTGTACATTACAAATAATACAAAGGGAATTAGCAATCCTTTAACACTAACTTGCACGCCATGGTTCCGCACAAAAATATACACATGTGTTCTTAAGGACCCTCTCCACACCAGTACAAAATGTTTTTTGGATATTGAGAAAAATATATTTTATAAAGGTGTTAGTATTGAGCTTATTTATATGATTTTCAACATATGGTGCGTGGCATTTACCCCCCCCCCCCCCCCCCCCCCCCCCCCCCCCAGGAAAAATAATCAAACACAACACAGAATCAGTGAATAGAAATCACTGTTGTTTACTTCCATAGAGAAAATACATGTAAATAACATGTTCAATTAATATATCTTGGCCTTTTAAAATGTTAAGGATACGTGAATTGATTACAAATTTTGTAATAAACTGTGAATTTCTAATTTTAAGAATGTAGATCTAAGGGCAGATCACTCTAACTGCAGAAAAATACCATAGAATCAGAACTCTTGAGTGTGCAGTGTAGAGAGGGTTCATAATCCAATTTCTTTTCATTTTTGTTATAATGGCTATTTAATACATAATGAAAGGATTTAAACAAACAAATCGTAAAATGACTGCTTTCTATAAAAGAGAAAAAAATTAAATAGCGTTGAATTTCCTTTTCATGTTCTTTTTTCATCTTGTTCATGATTGTTCATAATCCCTTTCACGTGAAAGTTATTCAAATACCATATGTATATTGTTCCAATAATTTTCAAGAAAATATGACCCTATATTTGAACTCAAAAATTGAAAATCAAAGCCCTTCATAATAACCGATGGGAAACCACATTTTTCATATTTTACCACTCACCAAAACTTTATCCCACGGGTTTAAAACGAAATGTAACATCAGTCTAATATGAAAAATGCAACTGAATAAACATTCATCTATACATCGTTTCATCTTAGAAATGAGTGACAGTTCAAATTGTACAAGATATCAGTTCAAATTTGAAAAGCGTAAAAAAAAGAATATAGTTAGCTTTAAAGTAGGTCCCTACTCGTAGAATTAACTGGTTAACAGTGCAATTTTTGTCCTGATTTACATTAAGAGATACTTTATCTACTTCAAAAGCACAAAAAATAGATAGATAATCTATATTTTTATTGAGATAGGGTGTCAAGCACTCATGTACCCTCTTGTAACAAAAACAAAATCACGACTTATAAAGACGGTCTACATTTTATGTCGTTGCACATGGCAAATAAATTCTTTTGAACATAAATCACAAGGATAAGGATAATAATGAATAATTTTAGGCTATGGTACACATTACTGGTTAAAACTTAGAAAATATTGAAGAATTAATCTCATTTTACTAATAAAGTAACAAAGCTCAAAGCTCAAATAAAGTCTCTATTAAAATAATTAATCTGTTTACCCTGATTTTTTTGTCTTTATTTATAACAACTGATGCTTGAAGTATCTTTTAGGCATGATAAATGTATTGGTCATCTGTCTTTTCACCGAGATATGGGGTAAAACATATATAGGTACCCCCATTGCAGTTCAATAGCTCAAGCCTTTTATGTCCACAAAGATATTTATAAATCACCTAAAAAGTGAAATATTCTTTTGAAGAAAAATTGTATATATCAACATTCACACAACCTTTCCTAATCACAAACATAAATCTTTATTCTCAATTTAATTCTGAATATATTATATATACAGGGGACATGTCCATTACTCCTGGACGCTATAATTACTACTTACAAAAGATTATAAGCAAGATATACAATTTTTTTCAAGGAAAATTATGTCTAAAATTTCTCATACATCATTAGTAGCCTGTGTTGATTTTTTTTATTATTACTGAGTGTAGAAAAATTGCCGTCAAAAACGAAAGTAGGAAAATCCCATCTGCATAGCATACCAATTGTGCACAAATGAAAACAAAAAAGGAAAAGTATTATTTAATGACACAATAGCAAATTACTAGTATTTGCCAGGTTTTCAGTAAATAGGTATAAGAAATATTGGAGTTGTACCAATGCATTCATAAACGTATACTATCGATATAACCCCCTTGGCAAATATAACAGCTGTATATAATGTCCGGTATTAATTTGACTTCACGCTTGTGTTTTAAATCTCATCCTTGTACAAAAATACCCTCAATCATCTTTACACACCCTCCAACATTTCTGTAGACGTTGTTTACGTTTTTGCTAATGTTATCAAACTCCATGCAGTGTCGATTCTCCGGGACTACTTTCGTGTCCTACTAATAACGATATGGAGTTGTAGCGTAACGTAATACTGAGCTGTCTGGAGCTTGCTAATGTTATAGGTACTATAATTTTAAAACAGAAAACGGCTAAATCTGGCTTCCGGTTTACCACGAGTAGCCCCTTCTTTAAATCTCATAAATTAATGAACGTTTCTCTTAATTCAAAGTATTTATAAATAAGGAAGGAATATTACATTTATCAAAGAATTACTTGTATATTTTAACATAAACATGTACCTTACCTCATCCAAACTCTACACAGAGATGTTTGTGTACATTAAACGGAAGCTGACTCTTTTTTAATAAATGTACTTTATATATATATATATATATATATATATATATATATATATATATATATATATATATATATATATATATATATATATATATATATATATATATATATCTGTTTTTATTCCTCCCCCCACAACCCCATCCTCACCCCACCCCAACTGTTGTATGCCTGCAATAAAAATAAAAATATACAGATATCATGGGTACAGAATTATAATATCTTAAGCATGAAAATCTGCAATCAACATTAACATCAAACTGTCAATGCTGTAAATATGATAAATGCATTAATTCTTCCTAGTAAAAGTCAACTTTGGGGTAAGTGGGTGGGTGGGAGGAAAGTGGTCTAAACACTTTGCCTGGCTAGCAAAGAATTGGCATTTGCATGATCATTAAGGTCTTTCGTCTTCACGGAAGACCTTATAGTGAATCTATTGTTTCTTATTATTAGGGTCTTCTGTCTCCAACGGAACACCCTTCTATTATTCTATTGTTTCTTTTTCACTTTTATTATTATTATTCTTCCTTTTTTTCTTACAATTTTTGTGCAGAAGATTTCTCGGAGATGGCTTGATCGATCAACTTGAAATTTTCAGGAAAGGTGAAAATCAAACTAAACTTGATCCGTTTTTTTCATTTTTTCGAAATTCACTTCCGGTCGGAAGTTATTGCCCTTTAATCGAAATTTAGAGTACCTCGTTGTCTGCACCAGAACTCAAAAACGGTTTAAGCTAGAACACTGAAATTTTTACCAAAGATAGAGGACATGTTGTCAATGTGCACAATGGTTCTCAAATTTTCCGGAAGTGCCTAGTATGGAAGCTCGGTAGGGGTCAAAATTTAGGACATGAATCATGACTGATTTTTAAAGACATTTTGCATCATATCTTTTCAAGTATAATTATTTTGTTAAAACATACTGAACAAAATATGTGCAGAATGACAAGATTGTTAATATGGTACCAAGAAAAAAGTGTTGACTCATCACATTAGGGGCCAGAAGGGGCTAAAAGTCTTTTTACGATAACTCTTTAGTAGGCAATATTTTGTTATACAGTACTGAAGCAAAAATGTTTATCTCAACAATCTACAACTGTATATTATGATTTTAATGTCGTATATTACATAATTAGGGGCCAAAAGGGGCCAGAATGCTAAATCTTTGACGCTTTATATCTCGAAAGTGAGAAATATTTTGACAAGTAATATTGAAAAAAAGATGTTCAAAATAATGTTGTGAACAATATGCAACCTTTCATTTTTCGCTAAACGTCCCCGTTAGGGAGTTGAAGGGTTGGCCCCTAAATATTTCTTATGCAAATAACTTGAAAACGAAAAAGAATCTCTGAATAGTTGTTGAACAAAAAGTGATCCAAATCCTGAGTGCTTTAAGATGATATGAAGAAAAAAGGGGCTGATCCATTATATAAGGGGCCGTGAGGGGCCAAAAGTCGATTTTTGAAGTCTTTAATGTTCAATGTCTTTTTTTACAGATTATGGAAAATCATTATTTTAGAATGAAAATCTCAATCAAAATCTTATCTCATCTCATCAAGAATCGGACGGAAGACCCACTCGTTGCTCGCAACGAGATCGTATCTAGTTATTATTATTATTTTTCTCCGTACACCAAATTTTGTGCACGCGATTTCTCTAAGACTACTGGGTGGATTTTCATAAAATTTACAGAAATTATGTGTTGTTATCTGAAGTTATTTTTTCCGAGAGATTTTTTGAAAATTGGCTTCTTGTGCCAAGTTACGGGACATTTTCTGAATTTAAAATGACATTTTGTCCACGGTTAATCTCAAGAACGGTAGAAGATATAAATGTGAAACTTTCAGGGATTATAGATCGTGATATATACTATCCAGGATGCGACCTTTCGTTCGTCGTCGGCACTTCCTGTTGTTAGGAGAAACGAATTAAAAAAATTGTATTTTCTAACATTTTTGTTTTTCAATATTTTTTATTTGTTTTTGGAATGCTAATAGACACTCTTCTATTGATGCTTACAATATAATTTGTTTGAATATTGATAAATCAAAACTCTAGATATTAACATTTAAAAATCTGAAGCGGTACCAAGATGGAGGCTGTCTCTGTCAACTCCGCCATTTCGCGAGTAGAGGTCTATGGAGGCAGCTGAGCCTTTGATTAAACCATTCTGACATAAGCACCCCTACTAATGTGTTCGGAACCTTTTATTTTTCGGTGTTCTGCAAATTATAAGACCCGATGAGTTCAGAGTAGCTCTGGCAGTGGCTCTGGCGAGAGTTAGCGAGCTTTAGCGAGATAGGGTAAATTATTCACGGAAATGTGGCTAGGAAGTGACTAGCACGTGGAGACATGGTAAACAGAAAAGTTATGTTGCGTTTCAGTTTTTACCACCCTAAAATCAGCTGATAATGCCTGTAGAAATGTACTTCAATCAATCGATCTCTCTTACATTCATTCAAACTTAAATAAGTATTCTCTATAATACAATTTTCTGCAGTCATGAATTAAAATTTCTGTTTGGAAAAATATTTTTGCATGGGAGCCGGGACTATGTTTTTTGGCGTCAGATTAGCAAATGAGGCACCAGCATGATTTTAAGTGACCAATCATATGAATGAGCATTGCATTATGGGTTACCACGAATACTACAGGAATTTTACGCAAGAAAAAAGGAAAATCTTATTGTAAATAAAAAAGCATTTTTAAAAATATTATGTTCATGCTCATAATGACAAACAATTCATTTGTTCAATAAACTCCTTACCCTTGAAGCGCTGGTGTTCTGACCTAGACACGAACTACATTTTATTAAACATTTTTTCCAGTAAACAATAAATTAAAACGCATTTTTAACAATAGCCATATAAGGCAAACAAAGGTTTGTCAATGTAGATGATAAAACACATTTTTTACCAGCGAATCGGTCACAAGCGAGCTTTTATTTTCGCCGAAAAGTATAAGATATATTGTTATTTTAACATCCCCTCCTTTAGTCACCCCTTTTGTGTTGAAAATCATGAAAGTCTTTTAGAAAGGTCTGAAAACATTTATAATAGGACATGTTTTCAAAAGAAACAATCTATAGCGATATCCTGTTTACTGCCAATTTTATTTATAAAACCGGTTCTACCCTATAACCTTTGAATAGATCAACCTAAACCACGTGTCTTGAATTTAAATCACAATAACATTAGTAGGGGTGATGAGGATACATGAAATGTAAAAAAAACTACTTGGACTCTCATGTAGTAGTATGTTGCAATTCAGGTCAAACTTAAAACTTAATTTCCCTTTCACTGCTTTAGTGTAACTAGGCTAGATACAATATGTAATGTGCACAATGTGTTAAATATACGTTCTTAACAAAATAAAATAAAGGCGATTAGAACGTTTTATGTATTTAATTTCATTGAAGCTATCACACCTATTTAATAGATCAGTCCAAAGAAAATGCGCGATTATTTACTCGTGGCGTTTGGCGCGATATTATGAGTAGTGGCCCACCTTTTATAATTCTTAGACAGGTGTACTGTTGCAAAAGTATACACAAGTATATTTAGAGAAGTACTCCCAATTGCTTAATGGTTTGCGCGTTGAGGATAAAAGCAAAAAAAGCGCATTCATGTTGGCGACCTGGTTTCAATCCTCCTTGTGACCAAAATTTTGAATCACTTTTCAGCTCGATTTTACATGTTTTTTTTTCCTGAATCGGACGGAAGACCTCTCGTTGCTCGCAACGAGATCGTATCTAGTTACACTCCTAATTCACTGTGTGCAATCAGCATTCATTTTGTTTTCTGTATAATATCAAGAACTAATAAATGAAAATCTTTATTGCTGCAGCCAGGAGATGCCAGAGATTATATTATAAATATAAAAGTCTCAGTTGGTGACAATTAACACTGTGCAAACAGCTGCTACATGCTGGGGGAAAATGTGCTGTGCACACATGTGCAATTCAAGTGTGCACTTCAAGTTACACATATAAAGTGTGTAAGGCAACTCGATCATTAAATATATTTATAGAAGCTTATAATATGAATTATGTACATTGAGATTTTGAGTCATGTATGCATCTCAAAAATGAATTGTGCACACTGCATGCACACTCAACCCATATAGTCCATGTATTTATCCCTTTTTAGTTCATGATTCATTTATAACCACTTATCAACATGATCAATGTGTCAATGTGAAGATTAGTTTTTGAAAATAAAATCTAACAATATTCAATTCTGCTGAAAAATAAAAGCTCAAGTATAAGTCAATTAAAATATTTTTTTAAATCTTGAAGCTTTTGGTTACCCTCTCTTCCAAGTACACATAGGGTGGGTATTATCATTTGTAAAAGTGGTTTAATTAATTCATCGAAACATGAAATAACCGCATACCATATCAAAGCCAGAAAAAAGTTATGACACTGAAATAATACCAGAAATGCATCAGTGAATTCTTCTGCCATTGTAAGAAATACTTTTTAAAAGAGGGCCTTGCACTAGATCCTCTTTAAAAATGGATTCTGCAGTTACATCTATTTTCTGCAAAAATGTTTTTCTGCATGATAATATGCTTCCTCAAGGAAATGAAAAAAAGTGATCAATTGTGAAATTGCATGAAGAATGTTTAGACCTCAAACATAATTACATTATGGCTAAGATAACAATTTGCTCTACAATATCTTTACTAGTATATGATATTGTAGAGATAAGATCTCTCTTTCACGGTTATATAATTATGACCTATTTTTCCATGCTACATCTAGGTTGATTTAGCGATAAACTATTGGATATAATTTATTTATTAAATATTACGACTTTGAATCCGTTCCCCCGTAAAAGAGGCTCCTTTTCGGATTACATGAAGAGACATATTACATGGTCTTGTATACAAATCCTGACAGATATTAGGCTTTCCTCTTTCCAAAGAAATGAGTCAACTCATATATGAAATTACGGTTGCGAAAATGCGAATTACCGGTATTTATTT